TCACGAGTAGGGCCATCTCAGCCCACATTAAGACATCTGCCAATCACAATTTGGGCTGTCTCCGCCCACATCAAGACCTCTGCCAATCACAATTTGGGCTGTCTCCGCCCACATCAAGACCTCTGCCAATCACGACTTGGGCTGTCTCCGCCCACAGGACATGTTCTGCAGAGACCCCAACTTGGTTAATCTGCTAATGATGCTGATAAAAGCTATAGTTATAGTTAACAGCAGAAAGAAATGAGTTCACAGTATAAATGAAAGAATAACTTAATGCAGGGTTGTTTTCTTCAAATATTATTTTAAACAAAGTACAGATCTGTGATGTGGTGGTCTGATGTGATGAGGTTTACACAATGAATAAAATGCTACACAGCTATCATCTGTCTCAAAAAGCAGATATACTGTAAATATTTTCTGTTTGATCCTCTTCGTTCAAATCCCTCTGACATAATCTGGATGATATTTATAGATTAGCAGTGACAGAGAAAGAAGACAGGAACAGGCTGATAGTTAGTGGAGACACTGAAAACATTGGTAAATGTGCAGCAGCTACAAATGTCTCCTCAGCTCAGAGGTTTGGAGTTCGCATGTTCTCTCTGTGCATGTGTGGGTTTTCTCCAGGTACTCTGGTGTTCTACAGATTAAACACATAAGGGTTTGATACATGATCCCTCTAAACTCTACTGTCTGCCAGAGTTTCCCAGATAAAACCTGACATCTTAAAGCCTGTAGTGCTCATGGCACATGTGCTGCAGGTCCTCTGGTCATCCTGCAGCTTTTTATCTAGTATTTTTACCTGCCCACACCTGCTTGTCACAGATTACTACAGACTACCTGTTTGACAGAGGCAAAGAGTGTGTGTGAGCTACCTGACAACTTTGTATGGACCAGAGAAATTTTGTAAAGAAGCACATCTGGCCTGCGGACCGCCTGTTGGAAAGGCCTGTCAGCTGTCAGACAGCTGCAGAGGAAAAAAGACCCCCTGAAGTCCTCTGAGACTATCAGACACATTTTACATCCTAACTCTTGTTGATTACTGATCTATGACCAACAGTCAACCTGAGGACTTACTGCTCTGTGCAAAAGTCTTCAACATCCTCTTATTTCTACATTTATCTCTAACAACAAAAACATTAGAAAGTTGTGATGATGCAGCTGCAAATTATTAAAGCAAATCCAACAAATGTCTCCAGTAAAACTCTGTGCACTCTGCTAAGAGGAAGCATCCTAATGAGTCCAACCATTATTTCAGTGCTCTGTGGTACTAGTTTTATTGGATTTGATGAGTACTAAATGTAAATTGAAAATGATATGGTATAAACTGCACATTTTAGTGTGTATACTGCACATTTTGTTGTATAAACTGCACATTATGTTGTATAAACTGCACATTTTAGTGTAAACTGCACATGTTGTATAAACTGCACATTTTAGTGTGTATACTGCAAATTTTGATGTATAAACTGCACATTTTAGTGTATAAACTGCACAATTTTATGTATAAACTGCACATATTGGTGTATAAATTGCATGTTTTACTTTAAAGCTGCACAACAAGAAACAGGATTAAATATTTAAATAAGATAACAATCTTTTGATATTTCTGCACTGGAACCGTTCGTCAGCAAACACTGCATCTAACAAAATGTTCATTACATAATGGTTTCATGATCATGGACTGGTAACATTTTCATTCAGTATAAGAAATAACCCAGTGTACTGTAAATATAAAATACATTAGAAGGATCAAAGTTTATCCTCTTAAGTTTTATAATGAGTCAAATTATATGTTTGAATAACGATGTCTGAACATAGAGATTGTGACTGATTATTTACGCTTCGATGTGAAATGATCGTGAAGTCCTTGTTGGTTTTAAAGTGACTCAGAAGACCTGAATGGTTTGTCCTCATCACTGACTGACAGCATCATTTCACACAACACCCTGCTGGCTCCATTATCGGACAATGACAGGTGTCGTGACGCTGACTTCCTCCAGCAGATAACGGCTTACTGCACATAGTAATAATAATAATAATAATAATAACAACAACAACAACAGGACGCGTCAGTAGTTTGACATTGACCAACGTCAGGAGGACGGTAGTTTCACGGAAACGAATGGACCGATTCTGCCGGGGACACAGAATTCTACATGACACCTGCTATCTCGGGTTCTCCTCCATGACAATTAAAGCAGCGAATCGTTACTTGATCGTGTTGATAGCAGAGCTAATTGTTTACTATAACCGTGAGGAACACACATCTACCAACCACAGTCAGGCTGAACATCTCAACCAGTGTAACGGTGCCGTCCGATAATGGGAGCACGCGAGTTGCATTTACCTGTAATGGGAAAGAGGCGCTCTTGTTGCCCACGTATCCCCGGACGACATGGCTCTGTATGGACAGAACACGGCATTCCATGGCGCCTCCCGGTCAGCCGAGGACAGATGCAGATAACCTGTTATTCACAGACAGCCACGTCCACTCATAACAACACGGGAACGCACGAGTCAAACGTTGAAAACACGGCGCAGCCGGTCAGAGTGCAGCTACGTTAGTTAGCCTGTTAGCGGCTAGTGTAGGCAATCTGTGTGACCGCCCAAACACGATGACGTCAGCACAGCTGGACGGTAATGGGCGCAAAGTGCAGTCTTTTTCCATTCAGCCTCATCTGGATCTCATCTTTCTGTCTACTTCACACAGCCCGATCATATTATTCCACATTATTCCATGTGTGTGTGTGTGTGTGTGTGTGTGTGTGTGTGTGTGTGTGTGTGTGTGTGTG